CACGTTGCCAGGAGCGCCAGGACAAGCAGATGGAGGCATTGAAGCAGATCCTGAAGTCCGTGAATGCAGAAGGCCGGGGAGAAGATCCAAAAGGCTTTCAGAAGAGCCTGCTCCGTGCTCCTCGCCCCCCCCCCCGCTCCCCGCTAGGCCGCTAGGCGGTTCAGCTTGTCCTGTCCTCGCCAGGAAACAGCAGCTTGGTCGAGAAGCTCATGAACTGGAAGCGGAGCTGAGCCCTGAGCAGGGCGATGGCGCTTCCAGGGCACCCGCGCAGAGGGAGGGGCCTCCAGAGTACCTACACAGACTAGGCTCCGCCACTTTCGTGTTCTTTGAGTCAGAGAGTCTCAGCCTGGGCAGCACGAGCATTCACAGAGCACGTTTGGAGGATGTCCTTCCCCTGTGGCACAGTGCCAGCATTTCGTCCACGGTCTCGGCCGCTCTATGCAGAGGGACGGCTCAGTGAGCTTTCGGGTGAGCCTTGGTGGTGAAGAGGCGGCTGTGAGCGGTCCGCGGGTTTAGTCTATTTTGTTAATTAAGCACTCCGAATTACTCGTAAGGAAGGTCTTGAGGCCCATAAACATAGATCCGCAAAGAGTGCCCATTGCTCTCACTTCGCCTCCGCCAACAGCACATGGCTCCCCGGGCGCATGGTTCGGGTGGCCGGCCGCCGTGGGCCCTCGGCTGGCAGGGTGCAGCGCTGCGAGGCTGACTCTGACTGAGAGGGACATGCGTTGAGGCTGAGGCTTAGGGTCCTCACTACGACAGTGCTTGTGCATACCTGCGTCTGCAACCCGTTAGCGTCGAGAGTCTAAGAGGAGCCCGCAAGGTTGGGGCGCTAACGGGAGCGCTGTGATATCATGTCCTGGGTCAGTCGTACTTCTCAGTTGGAGGCAGCTGCTTGGCATTGTTTGAAGCTGTGGGAACGTCTCCTGAGTCTAGCTCCCGGCACAGGTGTCCATTTTGGCGCCTTCGGCGTGCTCGGCACATGATTTTCAGACCACTGTCCGGGTTGGTTGGAGATGTCCGAATGCCAACATAGCTTGCAGCTCAATTCCGTGCTTGGAGAGATGTTCAAAGCCGTCATCCCAGTTTAGAGCCCGGAATGCAGACGCTCTTCTCATCCCGTATGCATCCAAAGTTCCATAGATGTCCAATCTCTGTTATCCTCTATACTCCGAGCATTCCCTATAAAAGCAATGGTGTCGCCCACGACCAACCTGGACTTCGACACTCCGTGGCAGAGCGATTGGGGCCAAAATGTGGTAGAAACGCGGGAGGAAATTGGAGAGCTTTGAGCTACGCAGCTACAAGAAAAAGGACATGGAAACGAACGGTCAGGTATGTAGGACGCAGCCAGAATCCTTTGTCAGAAGCAAGTAGAGGGGCAGAAGGAAGGATTAAAGGCAGCTTTGTCCGGCGACCTCGCAGGTCCCTAGGCCCCGTACTCCAGACTCCTGGAATCAAGCCTCGAACCTCAGAACTCACCCATTGTGGCTCGGAAATCTCTGCCACGGCTCGGTCACAACCAGCCCGTCTGCGGCAGTGGCTTTGACTGTGCTCCCTTTCCTAGCAGGACATCGGGCTTCAGGCACAGTTTCATGTAGGGTCCCAGCACGTGCCTTCAGAGGCGAACCTGCAAACAGGTTTGCCGCAGTCTAGGGAGCCAGCCAAAGCAGAGGCCGTGCAGGCTGTACCGTTCTGTATAGCATATCGCTTGGTGTACAGCGGTAGGAGCTGGACTTGCTGGCCTGTCAAGACAGAAAGAGTAGTTGACTAGTTTTAGGATGTTTTAAGACACCCTTATTAAACTCCTGAAAAATTCCCAAACCTCAAACCCCGAAAGATAAGCGCCCGACTTTCGTTCTTGTTCCAGCATAGGGATAGCACCGTTTCCATGACTGTAACTTTGAGGGTTCTAAGGCATTGAGAGGGGTATGCGAGGGCAGGGTTTTGGATTTGTTCAAGTCCTGGCCGCAGCATTCCACTCTCCGCCTTAAATGCCACAAGAGGAGTCAGAAGAGGGATCTGCAGAGAGAAAAGCTACATTGGGCTACCGCTGCTGCTGCTGCTAATCCTGTGAATCCTCAAGAATCCTCATACCCGAGCCTGGTACCATGGGTCTTCCGCAGCCGCTTCCTTCGCTTTTCAGCGTTCAAGCTCTCTTTCCCTGCAACCTTTCGCGCAACTGCTGGCGACCCACTCAGCGCAGGGGATTCCGAGAGGCTTCGCGGAGGTGTCTTGGTTTGTGAGGTGGAGGCTGCTTCTTTGGGGGACAAACCCCGGAGTCGTTGCGACGCACTCGAGTCACTCGAGGCGATGACCGAGCGCCGAATCGACCCGGAGGACGGAGTCGCGTGCGCAGCTGGCAAAAGGGAGCACGGGCCGGGTCGGGAGGGGCCTGGAAGTGGTGTGCATAAGTTTGTGTTAAGTGCAGGTGTTCAGCTTGTTTAGGGATTTTCGAAGGGCTCCGAATCAGGTCAGCGTCTGAGGGTTTGCGGATCTCCAAGATCAGGCGTCCTAGGTCTGGGCCGCCAGGCCTGGGCGAAGTGCCCCACTTTTTTCTCACTGGCGAAGACTTCCTGGGTTTGCAGAGCCCAGAGCCCTCAGGTACACGTGGGAGGAGTTCTCGGAGTACTACGCCGGGAAGTTGGCGCCTCAGCCTCCGAGCAGGCCTCAAGGCCCGTGGCGGCACAGAGAGGGCACAGGCACTGGCACTGGCACAGGAGCTCCGTGTCGGTCACATGCCGCAAAAAGCCAGCGGTTGCAGCTCCCGGCAAGTGTTCAGCAGATTTCAGCAGCTCGCAGGTACAAGAAAAAGGTCATTGCCTCCTACTGGGAGGAGTGCGAAATCAAGAAGGGCCGGCTGCTTGAAATGGGCTTCGGACTGTCAGGAAAAAGGCATCTGGGATCCGAGGATGCTCAAGATTCCACGGGGGATCGACAGTTTGTCGGTAAAGAAATGGGTGCGGGCTGATTGTGGGGCCCCGTGCGCCCAGCTCCACCCACTTCTCCCCCTCACCAACCCTCTGCCCTACACACCCTAAGCCTACTTACAAGCCTGAGGAGCCCCTAAACCCTAAGGCCTAAGCCTTGACTGCACGAGGCAAGAAGAAGGCGAAGGCGCCAGCGGCCCCAGCACCAAAGCCAAAAGCGAAGGCGCACTGAGTCGAGGGAGTTCCGACTCCAGGGGATCTTCTTGGGTTTCCTCCGGCTCTTTTGTGTGAGGTAGAGAGCTCTTGTTCTAAGGGCAAAGGGCTCGGATAGCTGTTATCGAGTTTCACGGGGGCCTGCAGGCCAAGGCCAAGGTGAAGGCCGAGAAGAAGGCGGAGCCTCCGGCACCAAAGGCGGGAGACCGGCCATGGCTCGGCTGTTTTCCCATCAGAGAACTGCCCATGTCTGCGACCCAACCTGAGCCGGGCTTCCCGCCGAAGGCCAAAGCCAAGGCGAAGGTGAAGGCCAAGGCCAAGGCCAAGGCCAAGGATGCTCCGGACCGCCGAGGGTCCTGCCGGGAAGCTTCGGTTCTAGCGGGCTGTACCTCGGAAAAATTCCTGGCGTAGAGATGGGAGTGGAGTCGAGGACGTAGGAGAAGGCTTCTTTCAGAAAAGTGCGGGTCCGTTGTTTAAGCTGCTTACGGCTTTTGGGATCAGGATTTGATTTCCCCGCTGCGGTGTGCGTGTGTGGCTTGGACTCCGCCGCTTCTGAGCCTCTCAAGCTCCAGGCCCGTGTGACATTGAACGAAATCACCGTCTGAGCCACCCGGGAAGCATCGACAACGCGTCTGGGACACCCCAGTGACACCCAAGCACCCGAACGTCGCTGCTCGAGAGCGCCTGGCCGCAGGAGGCAAAGTCTGCTGGCAACTTCAAGGCGACTTCTTTCGTTTGGAGCTGTGAAGTCCTGGTGACCGGCGGTCATGTTAACGGGGTGGCTGGAGAAGCCTCCAAGCCGTGGGCAGGTGTGCGTCTGTGGCGGCTCCGGTGGAATTGGACAGCCGCTTTCGCACCATGGCCTAAACCTTTCATCCACTGGGACTGGGGTGGGGGTCACTTGCTGTCGGAGTCAGGGCCGGAGGGCGTAGCAGGCGTAGCAACCTCGGGTCCTTCTAAAGTAGGAAGCAACTTAGAAGCAAGCTGATCTTTGCACAGGGTGCCTTTGCAAGTGGGTGACACCAGTTTGCTGTGCACCTGCGTGGTGTTCCAGCCCAGCCGACATCTGGCAGCTTCATGACCTTAGAACTTCGTCCTAAGTTCCCAAGCAGTTGAAGCTGCATCTCATCCCATCTCGCTCCCTCTTCGAAGCCTTTTCAATCGGCTGTTCAGGATGCTTATGGCCCTCGACCCCAATGTCAAGGAGACCAGCTGATGTGGGATCGGGATGGCGGTTGTGACGTGAGGCTTCGGGTGGAGCTAAGAAGACCTGCCTGGAAAGCGAAAGCCGCAGGCAACCGCAGGGCACCCCGGACCAAGCATGGAGCGAACACGTCTTAGCTTTTGTGCGTCGGTGTTGAACCTCTGATACGGGAGCCACTGCCCACAGAAAGCCCAAGCAGGAGCTGTGCGTCTTCGACGTCAGCGTTGCCATGGTGCGACTTGCCGGGCTTCTGTTCGGGGCTTGTGGGAGGCTACGGTTACAGTCTTCCGTGAAGGTCGCGAAGGTTCACGCCGCCCTAGAGCCCTCCAACCCCTTTCGACACTCAAAAGCCCTTTGCATCATAGTCTTCTTTATTGTCCTGCGTACGTTTCTTCATGACACAGAGACAGAGAGACAGTGAGTGACCGGCCGCTGAATTTGGCTATCAAAACGAACCTTTGGGGCAGTGAGGAGTCGGGTGCGTGGCTAAAGAGGAGTGAAGGCCATGGCAGTTAGGCAGCTTGACGCTTTAGCTTGAAACGTAGTGTGGGACGAGAAAGGTGAACCCATCAGGGCTCGACTAGCCGCGTCAAAGCTTCTTTTTTTGAGGGCCATGGATGGCATCGTCAGGCTACGAATCCGAAGCAGATATAGTATCCACACTAATAGAGATCGATAAGTTAAAAGAGGAGCCTACGATGCGCCGAAGCGATTCCAAGAAGCCGTGCGCAGGTGCCACCTGCGGGCGTCGCAGCGGACCTGGGCCACTTGGAGAGGCCTGGCCGGAGCCCTGGGGCCCTGGGGCCTCCGCTTCTTTCGAAGTCGAAGCCCTGTCGGGAGCTCCGACGCTCCGAATGTGCCTCTCTCGAGAGTTCCCATCGCAGGAAGAGCGATGTGAAGGGCTATGTCATGGAGGCAGGCCGCTGTTGCTTTGGTTTTCGTCATGACTCAGGAGTCACTTGTTATCTTAATTGTTGTCACCACTGTCTCCGCCACGATTCACCCACCACCCAGCATCGCCATCGCGATGTCGTGCATCATGTTGCTACCATAAGACTGCTCTTGCGGGCCTGGACACTTTTGGGCTGGACAGCAGTCATCTGACAGCTTCTTCAGGTACTGTACCCTTTTTGCAGCTTCTGCACCGTTTTCTGCAGATCTCTGAAGTCAGGTCGGCTCGAAACCGATCGACAACCTCAAGGAGTGCTCCGACGCGTCGATGAGTGGTTCTGTGAAGGGGTTGCGCGTGTGTGCATGTGAATCATTATGCTCTTCGACTGGGTGCCAGAGGCACGGCATCCGTAAAGCCGGGGAATAGCAGTGTGCTTGAACCCGAGAGAGTGGAGCCCCTAGCAATTGTAACAATAGTGTATGCACAGTTATCATCTTCAGACGAGTTGCGGCCATGGCCATAGCTCGGAAGAAGCGGGCAGCTGAACTCGCAGCGCTTTGCAGCACTTTGCAGCGCTGTCCGAGGTGCCTCGAGGGCTGCCACCTGGTCCTCGTCCCGGCTGGCATGCCCAGGCCGGCCCGGGGGCTTCTTCGGATTTTCTCCTCACATGCGAAGAAGTGCTTGGGGTCTTTTCCGCCCGAAGCCAGGAAGCCCGGGATGACCCGCGACGACCTCTTCAAGGCTCCGACAGTCCGAGAGGGCTGGAGAGGGAATCCCATCAGCTCTTGTCCAAGGGACTCCTTTTGTAGAGATGATGCAAGTTCTGAGCCCTTCGGATACGTTGTGACCGTTGGATTATGGTAGAATTTCAGATTCAATGTGGACTTAAATTCTATTTTATGCCTTTTCTGTGTGGGGTTCAGGTGCACGGCTGGAGAGCTTAGATTCGAATTTAACGCTTTGCGGGCATTTAGGATGGCGAAGGCATAAATGCGAATTTAATTCCATAGTGAATCCTGTCCCGGCATGGAGGGAGATTGGATTTGAATTTTAATCTCCCGTGAGTTGGGGGTCTAAAATTCGGATTTAAAGCCACTTTCCAATTCAAGGGTTTTATTCGAATTTAATCCGGGAATGCCGGCTGCAGCTTGGATCCTAATTAAAATCTGCAGGTTGTCCTCGCCGCAAGGTCTAAATTCGAATTAAAATGCGCAAGCTGTGGTCCTTGCAGGGTTTAAATTCGATTGGAAGAGACTAGAGAATTTCGCAAAAAAAAACCTAGAGAAGTGGAAAACAAGGAGCAAACCGCCTGAAAGGAACTCGAGAATTTCAGAACAAGGAGCAAACCGATCCAAAAAGACTAGAGAATGTGACAACAAGGAGCAAACCGCTCGAAAGGAACTAGAGAGTTTCAAAACAGGGAGCAAACCGCTCGAAAGAGATTAGAGAAGTTGAAAACAAGGAGCAAACCTCTCGAAAGAGACTGGAGAATTTCGAAAGAGACTAGGATTGAAAACAAGGGGCAAACCGTTCGCAAGGAATTAGAGAATTTCAAAAAAAAGAAGGAGCACACCGCTCGAAAGAGACTAGAGAATCTGAAAACAAGGAGCAAACCGCTCGCAAGGAGTTGGAAAATTTCAGAAGTAGGAGCAAACTGCTCGAAAGAGACTAGAACGCTCGACAGAGACTAGAGAGAAATTCATAAGAAGGAGCAAACCGCTTGAAAGGAACTAGAGATTTTCGGAGCAAGGAGCAAACCGCTCGAAAGAGACTAGATAGTTTCGCAAGAGACCAGAGAGTTTGAAAACAAGAAGCATGCCGCCCGAAAGGAACTACGGAATTTCAGCGCAAAGAGCAAACCTCTCGAAAGAGACTAGAAATTTCAGAAGGACAAACCTGCTCGAAAGAAATGGAGAATTTCAGAAAAAAGGGACAAACCGCTCGAAAGCGACTAGAGAATTTCGAAAAAAAGACTAAACAAAGACTCGGAGAACAAGGAGCAAACCTCTCGAGAGGAACTAGAGAATTTCAGAAGAAGGAGCAAACTGCTCGAAAGAGACTAGAGATTTTCGAGAGAGACTAGCGAATTTCAGAAGAAAGAGCAAACCGCACCAAAGAGACTAGAAAATTTCGAAAGAGGCTAGAGAGGCTGAAAGCAACGCGCACACCGCTCGAAAGGAACTAGCAAATTTCAGAAGAAGGAGCACACCGCTCGAGAGCCGCTAGAGAAGTTCGAAAGAGACTAGATTGTTTGAAAACAAGGAGCAAACAGCGGGAAAGGAACTGGAGTAACTAGAGAAGTTCAGAACAAGGAGCAAACCGCACGAGAGAGACGACAGAATTTCGAAAGACACTAGAGAACAAGGAGCAAACCGCTCGAAAGTAACTAGCCAATCTCAGAAGAAGGAGCAAACCGCTTGAAAGGGACTAGAGAATTTGAGAACAAGGAGCAAACCGCTCGAAAAGAACTAGAGAAAACCGCTCGAAAAAACATGGAGAAGTTCGGGAGAGACTAGAGAATTTGACTTGGAAAACAAGGAGCAAACCGCTCGAAAGGAGTTCCGTGGAGGGTTTCAGAACAAGGACCAAACCGATCGAATGAGACTAAATCATGTCGAACGAGGCTAGAGCAATTGAAAACAAGGAGCAAACTGCTCGAAACAGACTAGAGAATTTCGAGAGAGGCTAGGGAAATTGAAAAAAGGGAGCAAACCGCTCCAAAGAGACTAGAGAATTTTGAAAAAAAGATCAAATAAAAACTCGGAGAACAAGGAGCACACCTCTCAAAAGGAACTAGAGAATTTCAGAAGAAGGTTCAAACCGTTCGAAAGGGTTTAGAGGATTTGAAAGCCAGGAGCAAACCTTTCGAAAAGAACTAGAGAATTTCATAAGAAGGACCAAACCGGTCGAAAGAGAATAGAGAAATTCGAAAAGAGCAAACCGCTCGAAAGAGACTAGAGAATTTCAGAACAAAGAGCAGGCCGCTGGAAAGGTACTAGAAAGTTTCGGTCAAGAGACTTGAGAAATTGAGAACAAGGAGCAAACCGCTCGAAAGGAATTAAAGAGTTTCAGAAGAACGGGCAAACCGCTCGAAAGAGACTAGAGAACTTGAAAACTACGAGCAAACCGCTAGAAAGGGACTAAAGTATTTCGATGAACAGGGCATACATTCGCTCGAAAGAGACTAAACTTTTTCGATACAGACCAGAGAATTTGAAAACCAGGAGCAAAAGGCAAACACAGAAATAAAGAATTTCAGAACAAGGAGCAAACCGCTCGAAAGAGACTAGAAAATGTCGAAAGACGCTAGAGAATTTGAATTGGAAAACAAGGAGCAAACCGCTCGAAAGGAACTGCGTCGAGGGTTGCAGAACAAGGAGCAAACCGATCAAAAGAGATTAGATAATGTCGAACCAGGCTAGAGCATGTGAAAACAAGAAGCAAAACGCTCGAAGCGACTTAAAGAATTTCTTAACAACGAGCAAACTGCTCGAAGCTAGAGATTCTGAAAACACGCAGCAAGCTCGAAAGAAACTAGAGAGTTTCAGAAGAACGGGGCAAACGTCTCGAAAGAGACTAAAGTATTTCGAAAGAGGCTAGAGAAATTGAAAACAAGGATCAAACCGCTCGAAAGGAACTAGAAGATTTCAGAGGCAGGAGCAAACTGTTCGAAAGAGACTAGAGAAGTGCCAAAAAATCAATATAAAGACGCGGAGAACAAGGAGCACACCGCTCGAGAGGAACTAAAGAATTTCAGAAGCAGGAGCAAACCGCTTGAAAAACACCAGAAAAATTTCGAGAGAGACTAGAGAAAGCCAGGAGAAGGAACAAACCGCTCGAAAGAGACTAGAGAATTTCGAAGGAGGCTAGAGAAACTGAAAACAGGAAGCACACCGCTCGAAAGGAACTGGAGAGTTTAAGAAGGAGACGGAGCAAGCTGTTCGAAACAGGCTAGGGAATTTCAAAAGCGACTAGAGAATTTGAAAACAAGGAGCAAACCGCTCGAAATGAACTAGAGAATTTTTCAAGAAGGAGCAAACCGCTCGAAAGAGACTAGAAAATTCCGAGGAAAGATTGGAGAGGTGGAAACCAAGGAGCCAACCGCGCGAACGAATCTAGAGAGTTTCAGAGGAAGGAGCAAACCGCTCGACAGAGACTAGAGAAGTGAACTTCTCAAGAGACCAGAGAATCTCAAAACAAGGGGCAAACGAGAATCGCAGAAGAAGGGCAAACCTCTCGAAAGAGACTAGAGAATTTCGAAAGCAAGGAGCAAAGCGCTCGAGAAGAACAAGAAACCGCTCGAAAGAGATGAGAGAATTTCGAGACAGACTGGGGAACTTGACAACAAGGAGCAGTCTGCTCGAAAGGAATTGCGAACGAGGCTAGAGCAATTGAAAACAAGGAGCAAACCGCTCGAAAAGAACTCGCGAATTTCAGAGGAAGGAGCAAACCGGTCGAAAGTGACTAGAAAATTTCGAAAAAGAGACTTGGCAAACTGAGAACAAGGAGCAAACCGCTCGAAAGGAATTAGAGTGTTTCACAAGAAGGGGCAAACCGTTCGAAGGAGACTAGAAAACTTCGAAAGAGACTAGAGAACTGGAAAACATGGAGCAAAACGCTCGCACGGAAATAGAGAATTTGAGAACAACGAGCAAACTGCTCGAAAGAGACTTGAGAAATTGAAAACAAGGAGCAAGCCGCTCTCCCAGGGTTCCGTCTTAGCAGGGCTTATACTATTTGGATTCGACAAATCTTAAGATTTCCTCAGAACACTGAAGCTTGACGTATTTATGTATGTAGACAAATCTTCGTCGATTGCTTATAGCGAGAGAAAGGCACAAGTTCGAATTACAAACCTTCCCTTGGCTCGACTGGTGGCCGCTGCTTGGTTCAGAGGTTTTTAATTCGAATTCAAGCCATCTGGACGCGAGTTCTACGCCCCGCCCGGGAGGGGAATAAATTTGAATTTAGTCCTTTCCTAATTTCGAAATCCTGCCTCATCCAGTAGTGAGCTCTGCTTTCCCCTTCACGGATGGTGGTCCGCTCTGGATGAAAGGTGAACGCGGACATTGCCAAAGGTATCGTGGAAGCTTGCGCAAAGTATTGCTGGCTCCTTACAACAGGACTCGTTGGCTCCAACAGTTCCCGATTCCCAGCGATCCCAGTGTCGGGCTTTGGATTTCAGCTTGAGCTCTTCCTGCAACCCCATGGGTCACGAAAGCCTGAACTGTTGAACTCGTACAAACCCTGCAAAGGCACATAAATGCATCAAAGTCCTCCTTCTGAGCTCGATAGAATTACAGGTTCCAGACAGTTTCAAGGCTCTGCGAAGCGGGTCAGACCAAGTTGAGGTCCGGATGCCATGTTGGGAATGGTGGTCAACCCGGTGAACTCGATCGTGTATCTTGCTCAGTCAGGGAATGCCACAAAAAAGGGTTGACGCGCCCTCCCGAATTGCTCATGTGATTGCTGAGTGCCTCGATGATGTTGCTTGCCGGTCATGTGTATGAGGTGTTTGTCGTCGGTTCGTTCAGTTTGCAGTGTGTCTCCTTTGACGCTTTGTAATGTTGTTGGCAGGTGTTCGATTCGCAGATGGATTGCGTGCTTGGGTAAGTGTTGGGATTTTGATGTCAATGATGCGAATTGGCGTTGAAAATATTAAAGCATGCAAACCTTGAAGCCACACGCGCAAAACAAACCAAACACTTGACGCCCTAACCAGAACGGCCGAAACACCAACCCCAAACTTGGAAAGCGTTGGAAACCCCAACTTCACGAAGAACTTTAAATGCTTTGAACCATGGAAATCTTCTAAAATCTAAAGCCCCAAGCCCCTAAAACCATCCCGGGAACTTGAAAATCCTTAACCCGATAACCGTCAAACCGTGACCACGAAGAAAACGCTCACAAGAAATCGGACACAGAGCCCGAACTCCCCTCCTTCGAAGGGCTTCAAATTAGAGGTTTGCGCCGCGTACCATGATGTGGCATGGTGCGACATAAATTGGGGACTTTGGAGCGGGTTCGCGTCGGCATGTGTTGGTAGTCGGTCGGTAGTCACGGCTGGTATGCATCGCTGGAAATGTCACCGTCAGTGAATTAAATTGCAAACCAAACACAGAATTCCACCTCTGCTGTTGGTGTTATCTTGAAGTTACATAGGTTTGAGGGAGTGCTTCGCCTGACCTCGTTTGTGATGTCGTTCGTCTTTACTGCGCTTAGATGATGGAATATTTCACCAACATCGGATGTGCTGGGACACATCAACATAATCTCTAACATCGAGGCCCTTACATGCCTCTTCATGAGCGGGTAAGTTCAAGTCGGACTCGAATTGCACATATAGTAGGCTGTTCATAGTTGGGGTTGTCATCGGTTTTAGGGTAGATGGATCAGCAACGGAACAGGAGTTGAATGCCTGCGCGTCGAAGTCACAATCGGAACAGAACGATAAATTGCGAGTCGTTTCCAAGCACCGAGGCCTGCCATGGCTGAGCTGTACAAGAAGAAAGGTAGGTCTTGTGGTGTCTTAAGCAGGGTGTGCGTGGACCGGATCTTGGGGTTGGGCCGGGCCCAGTTCAGTTTTTAGGACTGAGGTGTGAGGGTCGTTTGACTCTGTGAGAACATGCAGAAGTTAGAAGCCCGAGCTGCGCTTTGCAGAAGGTATCCGCAGACATGTCCAGAATTTCCTCTGACATGCCGTGATGCATTCGCCGCTGTCCTTACTGCATGGACATGACCTATCGAAGCTTGTAAGCCTGCGCCAGGCTTGGATCCGCTGAAGATCGTGGGCATCACGACCCTGGACGTGGTGAGGGCCAACAAGTCCGCTTCTCACACGGCTCGTGGTGTCCTGCGGAGTGTTGTCTTCGCGGAAAGAACAGGCACAGAGGCCCTGCTTTATCTGGACATCCCCTATGCTACAAGTTGCAAACCTCTCTTTAAAAGGTCATCGGATCGGACCTTGGTTTTACCGGCTAATGTCCATGGCTTTGTGTTCTTGTTTGGTACGGCGTGGTGAGGGTTTCAGTTGCTCCCCAGCGGGGCGCTCGTGGCACGGCCCCGGACTCTTCCAAGGTTCGTTGGCGAGATCACGGGGAAGAATCCCAACTACATCAGCGCAGGGAGACCTAGCAGACCACTGCAGATAGTAATCGACTGCGAGTGGCGCCGAGCAGAATCTCAATGCCAAGGGCGACAAGGTAAAGGTCCGTTTCAGCTCTGCTCAAAACGAGAGGTAGCTTTGCTTCGGCCACTCAGGCGTTCTAACAATCGCTAGTTCAAAGATAAGCATGACTGCTACTTCTTAACCGCTTGCCTTTTCTCGTGCTTCCTCCACCTCCCGCGCCCCGCACAGCAACTATTTCAACAAGAGCAACATCTAGAGCTGCTGCTGCTACTGCTGCTCCTACGACGACGGCGGCCGCCTAATCCACTCCGTGAGGTGCCCGTGGTCGGCGGCCATGCTGGCGTCACGATCCTCCCTCTTTTCTCCCAGGACAAGGCGGATTCTGCTGTGCTTTACAGAGCCTAAGGAGGGAGCCCTAACGACATCCCCCTGAACCATTAAGGCTGGATTGCTGCGTGCTGAAGAATGCAAGCGGTTGTCTGCGCCGGCTTCGTGTGCCGCAGCTTCAGGATTGAATGATTGCGGAGCTATGCGAAGCCCATGCCCATGAGCCCGCAACGCGTGGGATTAAGTACCTGCCCGCTGTGCACCAGCATCACCAACGCGTCCAGGCCCTGGATGCCGGATGAGCAGCCCAGAAAAAACCAGGAAGGAAGCATCAGAGCATCCTCAAGTCCTCAAGTCCAGCCGCCACAGCTGGTTTAGATTGCCGTAGTCGTCCTCCGGCGCCCGGCGGCATGGCCAGGATGGCCAGGACCCCGAAGCCAGAGGGAAGTCTCAGGAGTCTCAAGACAGTCTCAGTGACTCAGTGCTTTTATACTCTGGAAGGCTGGGGTTGCACGCTGCAAAGCTGCACGAATCGCAGCGAGAACCGTTCATGTTTCCTGGTCTCCGACAGCCGCAACGTTCCTGGCTTGGATCTTCGAAGGACCGGCCGGCGCTCAAGCGGCTTGTGGCTGGCGGCTGCAGCTGCTGGGACCTTCAAATTCAAAGCCCCAAAGCCTCGCAGACTTCCGAGGGCTCCTTCCGAGCCGGAAGCTTGTTTTGCATGCCGCAGTTGCCCCCAAGAATCGCGGACAGCGATGATCTTTTTGAGGTCTGGCTGCTGAGTCGGTTTACCCCGGGCCCAGCACCGCCAGTCAGGTCTGGCTCACCGGCCTTGCTTTGACCTTCACGCCCGGACCCCCCAACCCCTCGCACCTCAGGCTGCACCTAGATTCCAAGGGCTCGCAGGGGTTTAGGTGGCAGGGGCGGGGGTGGGAGAGCAGGGGTGAAGATGTCTGGGCGGTGCCGAAGATGGATGTCGGCCTTTGCCCTTCTACACTGTGTCCTTTCTGAAGTTGCAGTTGACCTAGTCCCTGGAACGAATTCGCCACATAGTAGTACTGTACCTCGGATTTGCTCTTCAAGAAATAGACCATGCCATGGACTCAGCCTCGGTTTCCACTGTTGCTGGTTCGTTGGTTCCTTGCACGTTTGGCCTCCACTTCTGGACAACTCTAGAAAGCGGAGGTGTCTAGCATGGGGCTTGAGGCACTTTAGAAATTGAAGCCTGAAAAGCTGAGTTACTCCGCCCCTTAAAACTCAAGGATTCGGGTTTGCGATGAAGTGGTCTCAGATCCCAATTCTTAAAATCTGAGGTAAGGCCCGGCCACCGCAGATCCCAAACAGACTGGTCTGTTCTCGACGCTTCGAATCCTACGAGGACGCAGAGCCCTCGCACCCTTCGCCATGCTGAGCGCAGCGTTGTGAGCGGCGGCATCCAGGCCGGAGCGTGGGGCGCATGGAGATAACAGAAGCTTCAGTGGTTCTGAGGGTCAGATAACACCTTAAAGCCTATGAAGAAAGACGCCATCCTCCTTGGGAGCTAAGACTGCTCGGTGACATGAGATTTTCGTTTGACGAGTCGGATCTGGGGTTCAAACATTCTGTCGGACCCCTGTCGGACCCACCGGAGCTCACGGGGCAAAGTTTGCAGCTTTCGCCGCTTTCGCTGCTTTTCCATTTGATTTCAGCTGGAGTGATCCTGAAGTGGGACACCAAGAGGATGTCGACCGCGCGGTTCTGCGCTGTTTGGCATCTACACCAACATAGTCAGGCTGCACGACTGTTTCGCGAGCGACTTTCAAAGGGTCTTCAAAGATGTTGAGTGCTGTCGGCCGCCAGGGTGAGGAGAAGTTTGATGGTATCCTCGATGAGATTGCCGCCGCGGCCGAAGCGGAGGACTACACCCGGGTATCAGGGTGGGGTTGACTGGTGATACACGCGGTTTTTTTTCGCGAAAGTTGAAGAGCCGTTCTTTCGTGATCATACCCATATTCAGGACTGTTCAGTCTTTGGCTCGTAGTCCTCCTGCTTATGAAATATTTGTATTGGTTACAGTGTTTCACGGTTTTGCTTGAGTAGTTGAGCTACGGTTTTGCATGTCGTACAAGAGGACGGACGGGCAGAAGCATGTAGTCGCCGTGTTGAATCGCGTCTGCGCCCGGAAATTCCTCAGATTCTTTCAGCCCAAAGCCCACACCGAAATGTAGGGCGCCTCAGCAGCATCATGAAATCCACAGTTTCGTTTCGGCGCAATGGACCCGCCGCTCGGAATCCTCGCAACTTTCTCCCCCCAGCCCCCCCCCCAAGAGCCCAAGAGTCTCCGTCTCCAAGAGGGGCCTCGTCTCGTCTGGTGAAGAAGGGAAGCCCTCAGCCTCAGCCCTCAAAAAGGAGGAGGCGAGAGGGCCCTTGGAAGAGCCGGAGGAAGACGGCCCGGCTCCGAGCTGCCGAGGAATCGGAAGGCTCCCAAAAAACAAAACAAAATCAGAGAAGCCCCGTGGTCTCTTTTTTTAACTAATTATAATTAATATTTAATAGTTATAGAAGAAAAGAAGGCCGCAAAGTAGAGTAGCCAAGAAAGAGAGAGGGCCCCCCGCGCGCGCCCTAAGGCTGGGCCTGGATCAAGGAATCCTTTGGTTGGCTCTTGGTCGTCGACGTCTTCACCCTGATCGCGTGCCTTTGGAGCAAGAGAGGGGCGGGTCTCGCTGGAGGGAGCGTGGCAGAGGGCCCTTCGTTCTGCCCTCCGACACGTACAAGCAGAAATGCAGAGGGACTCGTAATGCCAGATCCTGAAAGCAAAACACGCGCAGCAAACTGCCAAAGCCACCCTTTGGAAAGCTTGGGAAGTTGGGCACGTCTGGAACGAAAGCAACTCGGTCGGCACTGGCAGCCGCCCCTTCACAGTCAAACACGACCTCGAAGAGGCATGTTGAAAGCATGTCCAATCGGAGCTTTCACTGACACTTGCATGCAAACAAGAAAGCCAAAATGCAAGAAGCCAAAGAAGGCAAGCTCGTCTGTGAGCCGTTTTGCAGCAGCAGCAGCAGCGGCAGGATTAACCTCCCGAACTCCCGGCTTGCAGTACGTACTGCATGTTCTGCGGCGACCGCTGCAATGGAAATGCGCCGGCGATCTAAGATCTATGTAGAAAAGCAGACCAGCGGGCTCACAAGTACTTTCCAAGGCTGTCAGCTTGGCTCATCGTGGGGCAGACATTGAAATGGCTGTTCGACTACGACCCCATCATAGGCCTGCAAAATCGGCCACGGAATGAGGGCATGCCAGTTTCTGAAGAGCTTGCGGTTGAAGAACCTTGGAGTTCCCTGGCTCGGTGGGTTTTCTGCTCGTAAGAAAAGACATCGAGGGCACGTCACAAACACCACAACAGAACCCAGCACTAAACTAGACTCCTAAACCGCCTGTGTTCCCCCCATGGTCTTTTGGTGGGCCCGAAGAGCTGAGAAGAGAAACAAGTGACCCCGCGCCAGCTGCCTTCTTGAACCTCTGGGATCCCTGGATCCAGAGCCTCCTGGGCTCTCCGGCAGCAAGGCAGTCACTCCTTTGCAGGTTCAGGGTCGGAAAGCTTCGGAGATGTATGCCCGAAGTTTTGCAGGGAGGTCTACTTGGGTTGTACGGAGTCTCTCATTCTGGTGTTGATCTCTGAGTTGCGGCTCGCTTGCTCCCAACAAAGCCGCCCCCGTCCTTCCGGAGCCCAGGCATCTTCTTTGCCGCGCGCTTGTCCGCAAGCATCTTCCAATGGCTCGGGTGCCTCGAGAGCTGTGGGAGTTCTGCTCGGGCTTGGTCTTGGGGTGGAAATCCTCTCTTTTGGGCCAAGGGCCTCAAGGGCCTCACCGGCAGAGGTACCAGGTTCGTGGGAACTCCAAGAGGCTAAAGGCCGCCTCCCTGCCCCGTCACCAACTTCAGCCCCCAAACCTTCCGTGCGGGGCACACGCCTGGTTTTGGGTTCCTGACATCCCTCAGTCTGATACAGTATCGTGTGCAGGAACGGCATGAGATCTGACTGAAGTGGTGAGTCGCCCTGAACTTTTTCAAGCTCCACGAACGGGAGCGGCGTGTGGCGTCTCAAGCTGACCAGCTTAAGCTCAACAACGGAGCATGGACTGACGCACGGCAGTGCATCCCTAAAGCCTTCAAATTTCATCAACCTGTTGTAGAGGCGAAAGTACTGTCCTCAACCTTTGCGCCGTCCAGAGGTTCTGATTAGAGACCCAGAAGCGCTTGTGGGAAGTCTCAACATGAGTTGGTTGTGAATAAAAACGAATATCTATTTATCTGTCTGCCTATCTATCTATCTATCTATCTAGCTAGCTAGCTAGCTAGCTAGCTAGCTAGCTAGCTAGCTATCTATCTA